GGGTTTATTATCCCTGGAGCACAGGGGAGACCCCAGGTCGCGTCATAGGAGGTGCTGGGTGCTGCTCCAGCTGCGCCAACTCCAATTCCCACGCTCTGCGGAGGACGAACTCTCTCCTTATTTCCATCAAGGAAGCAATCAGGACGTGAGCCCTGGTATGTCACTGACAAGGTTGACCAGCCAGCCCAAGGGGGAGCCAAGAAATGTTCTAGTTACTCATTGGGGACCCTCAAGGTTTTCTCCCCACCATCCCTTTAGTCTCAAAACGACAGCCTCTAATTAGGAGCGGCTCCATGAAACCTTCTTTAATGGGCGCCTGGCTCGCCCTCCTGTGTCTCTGTGGTGTAATAACATCCGAGGATTTTCAAAATGGTCCCTTAGAAATAGTAACCATTACATAGTCATAGTGGATGCTGATGCTGAGTACTGATAATGCAAACAGTGTGTTAAGAAATTTAAATACACCAAAGTTTTGCCTTGGGCAAGTTATACATGACTGTGGTCAGGAGGAAAAGAAGTCACACACCCCCAAAGGAAAATAGTGACTTATGTCCCTCACCTGCTCCCTGAGATGTGAAAGGCGCAGCTGCGTGGAGCCACCTGGCCAACCTTGCACTGTGGGCTGACATGGGCTTATGTGCACATGTACCTGCGGGATAAGCTCTTGGACACAGGCTGGCATGTGTCTGCTGCGCTTTCCAGGGAGCACTTAGTCCCACTCTGAATCTGAACACAAGCACAAGTTGCTGTGGCAAACTTCCCCCCCCCCCATTATTTCTTCAACCAATAAATTACTATCATGCACCTAGGATGCAGGGCACTGTGTTAAGGCCCATGAAGACTTCAGATGATGCACACTCACCTGGCAACACACGCATGGTTTGGAGGTTTTTCAGGAAGCCAAGAGCCGCTACCCACCCCTGCCTTGACAGGCCTTGTGACGCCTGGGGGCAGTACAGCCTGTGCCCTCCAGGAGCTCACACTCCTGAACCGTGATCCAATGAAAAAATGGGCATCGGTTGGGTAATGACAGTGCCTCTTAGAGCAGCTGGTGCAGCCTGGTGGGAAAACAGTGCTTTGGAGTTAGACACCGTTGGTGGCAAGACCCAGCTCTGACATCCCGGCGTCCTTGCAGAAACCTGAATTTCCTTACATATAAAATCTGGATAACAGGGCCTCCCCAGTGGCGCAGCGGTTGAGCGCTGGGTTGCGAAGTTGCCCGTGGCCTCCGCAGCGCTGGTTCGATCTCCGGCTCCTCCCCGGCCACCAGAGGAGGGTCCCACATGGCGCGCAGACCTCTCCTGCCGCCCGCTGCTCCCCTCAGCAGTGTACTTAGGTCCTTCTGCCTGCTCTGCTCCCCGCTCTGGCTCTGGTGAATTCTCTCACCCTCCCACACTTCTGACTGTACCCAGTGCTTGTATAAATTAATTAATTAATTAATCTTTTAAAAAAATCTGGATAATAATAGTTACCTGGGAATTGCCAGCAAAATGGAGGCACTTCAGAAATATTTGTTGGATGAATTGATGAGATTCTCAATGCAAGTTATGCTAAGGAGGCATTTATGATGAGGCATGTCTCAGATTAAATGCCCCAGCATTTCTCTTCCTAAAGATAGAATTCCTTCTCTTTCTGAAGCATTCACAACTCTTGTTTGCAAGTGAAAGACAAAAATAACATAAACTGGCTTAAAAGAAAAAAAAAAGAAATGTATTAACTTGTAACTGAGTCTAAGTGATTAAATTGCTCTCAGACCTTAGAGGACAAAATATTTCAAAGCTGACCTAACTTTCTCTTGGAGGTTTAGAACAAATGCAATTTGTTTGCAGATAACCCAGCCTGAGAAACCAGAAGTGACTAATCTTGAACTGAGCTTCAAGGACAGATGGAGCTGGGAGACACAAATGCAGAGGAGAGGGGGCCACCCAGGGGTGAGGGGCCACCAATAAAAATTCAAAACTCTGATGTTAAAAAACAAAACACCTCTTCATACTTCTCCATGTAGGAACTGGCCTATACTAGTTAATGAACTTCAGCCAAGTCCGTGTCTTAGCCCGCTCCTTAACGGATTAAAGGGAGGCAGATTTGAGTTTACCTCCTACTCCCTTGCCAATTGACTTGCAATAAAGCTTCTTTCTTTTCCCCAAATCTGGTATTGGCCTCTGTGCGTGCCGGATAGGAAGCCCGTTGCTCAGTAACACACACCTCTGGCCTGATCATGGGCAGGCCTGGCTCTGGATATGAGATGCTCAAAGCAAGTCATCGGGAATCTATTTCTCTCTCTCTCCTCGCTCAGCCTTCTCCTGTCTTGGCCTCACCCTCAACCAGGGTCTCCTTGCTGCGAGCATGAAGGCAGACACAAACTCTAGATTCCTATTCCCACAGCAATCTATTAAAAAAATAGAGTCTCTCTTAGGAGACTTAAAAATCATCACCAGGATGAAGTATTACTGGTTCTGATTGGCTTAGCTCAGTATTATTAGTTCTGATTGGCACACCCCTATTCTGGAACCAATCACTGTAGCCAGGCTGGTGGGGGTGGGAAGGCTTATTGATCAGGCAGGAGATGGGAAGAGTCCCCCAAGGAGTATAGCTTCCAGAACTTGGAGGGTGAATAGCAGTTGACAGTATCCAGACAACAGATGTCCACTCCTACTAGGCCTCAGTAATGTTCACTAGACTGGGCCTTGGATGAATGAATCTACTAGAGAGGGAAAAAATAATTGAAAGAAAATGTAGCTGTTTCCATAGTAGAGTTAATGCAGGCTAGCAACCACAGCTTTTTGAGATTGTGGCTGCTCAGACTCCACAAATGATGGGCCACTGCCAGCTGCAACAGGAGGTGACTCTAGGGTGCGTCCACAGCATGAGTTTCTTCCAGAGACTGGTTCTGAACCTGAGCAGCTGGCGGGGAGCACCTGGGATTCCTGGCGGAAAGACTGCCGGAAGCAGAGGGACCCTGACACAGGTGTTGGGCCGTGGGATGCCAAGGGTCTGTGGCGAGATGGGAGTGGCCTGTCAGAGGAGACGTGCATCTTTTAGCAACTATTCAGAGCTTCCTGGTGGGAGGGAGGGTATTGTCAAGACCCCCAAACACACACACACACACACACACTAATAATAGAAGGAAGTAACCTCACATACTCGCTGAACCCCGAAAACACAGTGCACGTCATAACAGCACCAGCAGGTGCCTTCCCTCTGGGGTCAGGTGGGGGTGTGGGGAGAAGCAGTAAGAGTGGGAGAGGAATGAGGGTAACATGAATGAAGTTTGGAATTTCAACAAGACTCAGTATTTTAGTGATTGAATGTAAACCCATTACTCTGGATGTGACTGGCAGACATTTTCCTGTTCTCTTCATGGTGTTGCCATTTATTGTTTACTTGACAGTGAGCGGAAAGGCCACAGGATCTGCCCAGTGATCACACAGGGCGGTAGAGAACCAGTCCCGGTGCGTGTGAACAGAGGGAAACAGAGTGGGTAAGTGTGCCCTCTGATGCCAACATCCAGGAAAGTGCAGCCATGAGAGCAACTCGCAGACACAGCAGTGAAATGCCACTATTTAACAGGGAGTTTTGGCTTCTCACGTGGCACAGAATGAGGTTTCAGATCAGGTTAGAGACAGCGGGACCCTGGACAGCTGCATCGCTCAGGTGCTCCCTGGGTGTCATTTGGATTGTCTTAAAAACTTAGTCCAGGAAAAGCTGGTCTGACCCTGGGCACAAGGGCGTGAGAAGACTTCTAGTGCTTTTCAGCTCTGAAGACCTCGGTGAAGAGGGCACTGAGGACTTGATTGGGAGTGATAATTGCCTATCTCCTGCCAACAGCTCCCTGAGCAGGTTTCAACAATCAAGGGCGTAGTGAGAACTTATTTTGCGCCAAGTGCTGTGAAGATACTTCTCAGAAGTATGGTGGAGAAGCTGGCAGATGTCAGGCCTCCCACCCCGTCAGTCACATCTAATGGCGAGATGGCCTCGGACAGAGCTCGCTGGATCACATCTCAGTAACTACCGACCCAGCCTAGCAAACGCAGAGATTTGGGATGGCATGAGACCCCAAATCTGGAAGAACTTAGCAACTACACGGTGCCAAGTCAAGGGAGAAATATGCGCACAGAGAAACCAGAACAGCGAAGAATGACAGGGAGAAGAAAGGAAGAAAATGAAAACACTCTGTTTCCACTGGCAGATCAGTCTTTGCCAGGAAAACTGGAATGTTGACTTGGTACACACATAATTCAATTTTCTACACACTCAGAAGTAAAGAAAAAGCCAGACACTGGGAGAAATTGCTGATATGATTCTTAACATCTATATGTGAGCTTAGCCTCAAGCCATATGCTCGATAATCTAAAAAAGGCAAATGCCACAGTTTACGTACAGTGTGATCTCAAGGATGTAAAAAAAATAGCTCTCTCCAGAAAGGTACCTACATTTCTAACTAACTTGATTTATCATCATCGACAAAAGATTAAGTAACTAGACATACAATGTGGCGAGCCACTGCTGGGCATGAGCAATTTTAATCTTTGATCCTTCCATTTGTCAGTGTTTTGCTATTTTTGCAAAGTGAAAAAATGTCTTTTAAATGATTTTTTAAACTTAACCTAATCCTTTCATTACAGCAACAAGACACATGAGCCTGAACTCACATAATAAAAGTTTCTAAATGGGGAGCAACTCTACTTTCCCATCTCACCAACACTCCAAGATCACGCTGACTTGAAATAACTGCTGCTAGAATTTCTTGTTTCTACTTTTTTTAGGTTGTTGGAATGAGGAGCTGTGTGGCATCTGCAGCCAATCCAGGTCTTATAGGAAGCGGGGGCTACTCTGCGCCACCTAGTGGCTGGACTTCAGAATGCAGGCCCAGCGCGCCCGGATCTTCGTCAAGAGGAGGTAAAAATACAGTTTACATGAAAGATCACAAATTTCAAAAGTGTGTGTGTGTGTGTGTGTGTGTGTGAGTAAATTTTACTGCGATAAATGGTGTGTTTGTTGCACAAAATTTCTAAATTTGCAAATAATAACACTTTATTGTAAATACCCTATTGTAAATTCCACAGAGCCCATTAATTCTCACAGAATGTTTTTGTTGATTTTTTGCCAAAGTCTGGCATGCAAGACAAAGCCATGGTTTGACAAAATTAGATTACAAAACAGTGATTGATAACAATACGACCCAGCACAAAGTTGCTTTCACATCGTGGCAGAATTAGTACAGAATTAGTACATAAATGCTGGTTGAAATTTTTGCTTATGAAACAAGTAAATCCAAAGCAAAACACGGAAGATGTAGCTCGAACTCCCTCAGCAGCAGCACGAGCAACTTGTTTGTTGAATTACATAACAGGGTTTGAATACTGGAAGAAGAGCCCCTCGAATTTTTTTGTGTCTTTCACAAGTTACAGTTACAGACTTGATCCTTCTAAGTTTATTTTGCATTATGGGTTAACATTTTATCCCTCACGTTCTTCATACTGGAAAATCAGCAAAACAATAAATCAAGCCCTCGTGTGTGGTGTGTCCCAATCTGTGTGGAATAAATACTCTCCCACGGCCAGTTTCAAGTGACCAATGTGATGTCATGGAACGCAGTCCCCCCACCTTGATGTCACCGAGTGTGGAACAGGGAGGCAATGCTGTCTCCTTTGGTCCTTCCCAAGCTATAATGGATGTACTTAATCTCAGGAGCACAGCTAATAGTAAAATATTTTTAGTACTTATTACCTCTGCTTTTAGTATAATTTATTTGATTTTAAATTTAAATAGTTTAATTTTTTGATGGGTGTGTTTTATGACGAGCTTGCAAAAATCCTGAATGTGTAACAGTCAGCTCTCACAAGGCAGTACAATGGGTCCGCGAATGATGTCTTTTTGTTCAGCGTTGTTTTGTTATATTTGTGGATAAGGAAAAAGCATCCCAAGGACATTGAAGGAAATGGTGATTCGAAAACCTGCTTTTGTGATGTCATTTCCCTACCTGCGTTAGTGAGGACTTGCCCAGGCTACTCCACCCCACCAGGGATGTAAGGGAAGCACCCAGAAAAGAGAGAAGTTGAGGGGCTTGGCAACCCCCAAAAGCAGGCATGGGTGACAAAGCACCTTTTGTCAGTCCTCCTGGATTTACTCTAACTCTTCATCCTCCCAGAACCCAAGATCCCTCCTGCCTGGTCCCTTCTAGCAACCGCTGGCCTGAGCTACCTGCTATGTCTCCATCTGACTCACCTTTGGGAGATGATCCTTTACAGGGTCCAAAGGTGGGGAGCTGGGGGTTGAGGGTGAGCAGAAATCCCCCAGGCCCTGACTAGCTGAATGGGACCAGCTGGAGAAGCTCTTAGAGGGAGTTGGGGATCAAATACACCCCCACATGCATAACCATCACCCTCCTACAGATGTGGAAACTGGGGCTTGGCCTTGATACTTACCGGAGGTCAACAGCTGCCGAAAAAGTGGGGGCAACACCCACAACCGGTTTGATCAGCCTCCAAACACACCTCCTTTCTGCAGAGCCTGGTCGCAGCCTGAGCTCCCTGCATGCACCTTGATGGCTCTTGGATCTCTGTGCACACCACCCTAGAATTCTGCTCCCCTAATTAAGTCTTCCATCCCCCAAAAGGATGACAAGCAGCTGGAGAGCAGGGCCCATGTTGACCATGTGTTGCGCTGCCAGCATTGGGAAGCCCAGCTCACTGGTGTCAGAAGAGAGATTCAGAACCACCTGGTCCAGGTCTCCCATTGCCCTTATGGGGGAAACTGAGGCCAGTTTCCCCTGTTTCACAGTAACGACAAGGGCCAAACTAGGACTAGAACTCAAGTGTCCCATCAACTAGTCTGAGTGGCTGGTGAATGATGAATAGTTTCAGTGATATTTACCCAGGGTTGAACAAGACTGAGATGCACGAGTCCAACAGCAGACTTCCCCCTCGCCAGAGAGGGAAGTGAGCAGAGCATGGGGTTTTCAGCTGGACATCTGGGCAATATGGAGAAGCTTCCTGTCACCACTGGTGCCCTAGAGACTCTTTGAGTAGTGCAGGGAGCAATGGAGACTCCATCAGATGTGAAGTGAGGCAGCGATGCAGTCACTGGAGAAACTGAGGCAAGAAGGCAGAGCCTCAGGGACCTTCAGAGTCAGACTGAAAATGAAGATGTAGGTCTTCGCATTCTTCTCCCTTTTCCCCAGCACCACGTGTTCCTCTGGGGGAGGGGTAAGTCTCAAAGGACCACCTGGAGCTTGTGTCCCCAGGCCCAGGGAAGCAGGACATTGGAGATGGGCTACTAAGGCCACGGTTCCGGCATCCTCGGGGCACCTGGCATCCTCAGGGGCCTGCAGAGACCTCGATGCGGCTGTACTGGGCGCCAGCAGAGCTCTGCCTGTGGCCAAAGCTCAGGGTGAGCCTGTCAAATCGAGAGTGAGTGGGATCGGTGAGTGGCAGGGCCCAGGGAAGATGGGAGTGGCCCAGCCCCTGGGGCCCTCACCCCACTCCACCCCCACTCCTACCTGACCCTCCTGTCTTCTCTTGCCTGGACTACCCAGCGGTTCCCCTGGCCTCCCTGTCTACTGTTGCCCCCTACAGCCAGTTCTCCCAACCACCGTCATCCGGGGCAGCTGTGACTCTCCTGCTAGGAAGGGGGACATCCAGCCCCCCACCCTGGTTTCTCCCAGGTCATCCTTATAATATTTTGTTTCTCCAAGCTTCTATGACTCTTACGATTCTGTAGTTTTGGGGTTCTGCTTTTCTAATTCCTGTGATTCCATAATTGCATGAGTTGGGTTTAAAGTAGAGGAAACTGCTTTGAAGACACAAGCCAACTCACGCAGAACAGCTCATGTATGAAGACAGGGCGAAACTCAGGGCCCAGGCAGTAAGAGAGCAAGACACAAGAAAAGGGAACGTACGAGAACTGAAATCCTAAAGCAAAGTGCTTGGGGGTTTGATGACACTGTTCTTCGCCCCTCCCCGCCCACCCCTTACCGTGCCCCCCTTACCGTCTCTTCTGGAATTGCTGGTCTATCTCTGCCAATGACTGGCCTTTTGTTTCAGGGACAAACAAATAGATGAAGCCCAGGCCGAGGACAGCAGTCAGCCCGTAGAGCAGGAAGGTCCAGGACAGGCCGATGGTGCCTGGGAGGAGGAGGGCGGGACTGTGGGCAGAGGCACAGCCTGGACCCAACTGGCTGCTTCCAGGCTGAGCACTGAATATCAGTTCATTCATAGAAGATTCTCCAGAAGGTCGGTTTGCAGAATGACCTGCAGGCTGCTGGCTAAGTCCCTTAGAGCAGGAGTAGGACTGGATGGGTGGGAGCAGGGAAGGGGCCGGTACCCAAATCCACAAGCACACCAAGGCGTCCTGTATTTACAGGAAAGCCCGCTCACCCGAATCTAAAATGCCAGCAGCAGCATGTGTGTGGGGGTGCAGCCTTAGCAAACCCCAGCTTAAAAAAAATCTCAAAAACTCCATGAATTGGTTATTCGGTGACTGCATTCAGGAAATGAGTTTCAGTCAATTTGGCCTGCTCTGGTCTGGGAGACAGGACACAAGCCTCAGCAATCCAGGACAGGGCCCGAAACCAGCGCCCCCTCTTCCTGGAGCTTCAAGTGGGGGCTAGGGGCTATAAGCAGGAAACATGTGAGAGCTCTCCTGCTTTAGAATGGGGACTCAGGGCTGCAGAGAAGAGAATGGCCTTGGGGAGGGTGGGCCAGAGCCTACACTGAGGCCTCCAGACACCCTCTGTTCCCTCACCCAGAATCTGTTCCCCTCCCTCCACCACAACCATCAGGGCTGGCTTCCCGGGTGGAGGGAACGGAGCCTCTACTCCCAAGTATGTCAGTCAAGCCAGCCCCCTCCCTGACCAGGCCTAGAAAGACACAGAAGGCTTTCTGGTCATATCTTCTGTTGTGTTTGTTCCACAGCCTCCCCTCTCCCTTTCTCTGACACCAGCACCCCAATTTTCCTTTGGGGAACCCCCCTCATTCTCAGTCCATGGCTGAGGCCTACCTCCTGGCTCCAGAATGGGTATATACCTCAGGCCTGGGCATCAGAATATTCCAGGCCTCCAGCCACAGTGGTTGGTTCAGGGATAAGCAGATGATCTCGCTGAGCCGGTAAGAGTCAGTCCCAAGCCCATGTGAGTGAGTCGCAGGGGAAGAGACACTCTCCTTCCACAGGGCTGCCAAGCTGAAGAAGTCAGCTGGCAGCCATCTTTGCCACTCTAGGTGGGTCTGCCTGAGAATGCAGCCACAGCAGAGTCGGGGGAGTGAAATCTGCCAGCAATTTTGTTGCAGCCTCTGGCTCAGCCCTGTCTGAAGCAACCACACTCATCTTAGTGATTTGAGACAAAAACATTCCCTTTGGTTCACAAAGTGGTTAGTACTGGATTTTCTGTCACTTGTCACTCAGCAAATACAGGAACCCTGGCTCAGTCTGGAAGCAGCTGCTCCTGGATGAGGAAGGAACCGCAGCAAGGAATGAGGTCAGAGGACTCACCGATGAGGTCGAGGAAGGAGAGGCTGATGAAGAGGTTGGCAGCCCAGTTGAAGCTGTTGCAGAAGGCAAAGGCCCTCCCTCGGATCTCTGTGGGGTAGATCTCACTGAGGACCAGCCAGGTCACTAGGACAGGAATGAAGAGAGGGCTCTTAGGCAGCCGTAGGGACCTGGGGCCTGGCATCCCTGATCCAGCAGGCTGCCCTCAACCATGTGACCCCAGCGGAATTTCAGGCTCTTGACCCTAAATTCTCCTGGGCTGTTTGCCCACAGTGCTGTAAGAATTCCTATAAGGTAACCAATCTCCTCTGGATCACCCTAGTCATTACATTCCTTTCAAGTAAACCCCTTTGAATGGGGCAAATTCAGGTTTCATGAAGCCAAAGGCTTACATGATTTGGAGGCCCTCATTAAAAAAAAAAACTCATATGTAATTAGGCCTCTCCCTCCGGAGGAGTCTTCAAGCAAGGAGGAGCCCTAAAGAGTAAGCTTCACTGGCATCATGTCAAGCCACTACCCGTGACTGATGTGGCCCCCAAGCTTCCCACTACGAGGGGTAGAAGGTTCTAGAGTCTCTGCAAGAAAACTCCCACTTACCTGGTCCAAACCCGAAGGAGAAGGCGCTCACAAAAACCATCATGCAGATGAGGGCAGCCCAATGCAACAGGGCGTGCTCTGGGGCAAGAGCAGGGGGTGCAGGGGAGGCGGTGTTCAGGGTTGACAGGGGATGATGCGCTGCTGGGTCCCCAGGTATGGGGTGGAACTTGGTTTGCTCAGAGGTTGACAAAACTGGCTCCCTGTGGTTCCCACTGGTTGTTGGCAGCAGAGGTGGAGACTCCTCCCTTGGCAGATCAGAGTCCCCAGGGAGGCTTGACAGCCTGGTGACATTGGGCGTGGCCAGGCAACTTGGGCCTGTGTCCATGGGCATGGCAAAGCTGACGAGGCCTATGCCACTGACCGACAGGGCCATGAGGGCACAGCCAGCTAACAACAGGACCCTGCGGCCAGCTCGGTCCACCAGCCCCATGGCGGTCAAGGTAGCCACTACCTTCACTGCCCCAAGCCCCACAGAGGCCAGCACAGCTGAGGACGCCCCGAGGAAGCCAACGGAGCGGAAGATGGTGGAGGCGTAGCACAGCACGTTGGGCTGCCCTGTCAGCTGCTGGAAAAGCACCAGCCCCAGCCCCACTGTGGTTCGTCCTCGCATGTTATCCCGTGCCCTGAAGAGGTCCAGAAAGGAGTACCCTGGTCTCCCCAGGCCCCGCCTGGGGGCCTCCCCTCCCTGCAGGGGGATGAGGTCCTTCTGGGCTGCAGCCTCAACTGTACTAGCAGGAAGAAACAGGAGGCTGAGGGACTGCAGGAGAGCGGGTGCGGCTGCCCAGCCAAACATATGCCTCCATCCCCAGGGGTCAGCAGCCAGGGCGTAGTTGAGTGCGTAGGACAGCAGGATGCCCACAGTGATGCCTGTCTCATAAAGAGACACCAGCACGCCCCGCTGCCGTGGTCCCACCAGTTCTGACACGTAGATACAACAGGCCATGGAAGAGAGAGAGATGGCAAAGCCAACCGCTGAGCGGCCCAGGACCAGCCAGGCTAGGGAGCCAGCCAGGCCCAGGGTCAGGCTGCCCACAAGCAGCACCGCGTTGCTCCCGAGGATGGCTTGCTTCCTGCCGTAGCGGTCGATGAGGAAGCCCCCGACCAGTGAAGCGAGGAGAGCCCCCAGAAGCAAGCTGCCCACTAAGAACTCCTGCTCCAGGCAGCTTAGTCCAAAGTCAAGTTGTAAAGGCAGGAGGGCACCTGATATGACTGCCAGTTCATAACCAAAGGTCAGGCCACCCAGCAAAGACACAGAGGCACATAGGAGCAGCAGTGGTGGTGGCTGGCCTGGAAAACAAAGTGATATGGGCAGAGTTCAGAATGGTTCCTAGCTGGACCACCCATCCATCCAACCTCCATCTCTTAACCCATCCATCCATCCCTCCACCCACCCCCCATATGCATCCATCTATCCCTCAATGTCATCCATCCATTCACCCATCCACCCACCCAATCATTCACAAATTTATCTAGTACCTACAACATGCCAGGTAATGTTCTTGGGGTTGGCAACAGGACCCAGGATGTAAGGTCATGATATTTTAGTAGCAACAGGCATATGATGAACAAATAAATATATGACTTCAGGTGGTGATAGTTATCATTAAAAAAATAGAGGGCAAAAGGGACTGACATGAAGGATGAGTTCCATTTTGAACAGGATAGCCCACTAAGGGATCTCTGAAGAGAGAAAATTTGAGCAGACATGTGAGTAAAGTGAGGGTGAAAGCCATAAAAATCTGGGAGACCATAATAGACAGAGCGGAGAGCGAAAACAGAGGCTCTGAGGCAGGACAGTTTGGGCTGCACTTGAACAATAACTATTACTATTTTTTTTAAGATTTATTTATTTATGCATACAAGAGCTGGGGTGCAGGCCAGAGATGCGGGGGGTGAGAGGATTCACCAGAGACAGAGAGGGGAACAGAACAGGCAGACTGACCGAAGTACACTGCTGAGGGGAGCAGCGGGCGAGTCAGGAGAGGTCTGCTGCGCCATGTGGGTTGCTCCCTGGCTGGCCAGGGATCAAACTCAGGCTGAGGATTGCTTCATAGTGTGGTGCTCCAACCCTTTGCACCACCAGGGAGGCCCGATCAATAACTATTACTATTAATGCCTAGTCCTTATATAGTAGTAAATGCCAGACCCTGTTTTAAGAGCTTTACACGCATTTCTTCCTTTGGTTCTTACAACAACCCTATAACTATAACATAGTATTGTTAGCATCATTCTCCAAGGCACAGAGAGATTTGGAAACTTTCTCATGATTGCACAGCAAGTAAGTCACAGAGCTGATGTGGCTAGAGAGTGCACTCTCCAGAGTGCTGGAGCCCAGTGAGACTGACAGAAGATGGTGATGCGCGGGTCGAGGAGGCAGGAACGGGATCACGTGGGGCTTTGGAGGGCGCGAGGACAGTGATGAGAGGGGTCCGATGATGGTCACCAGCGCATATGGACATGAGGCACTTAAAAGGTGGCTGTTGTGACTGCAAACTACATTTTAAATTTTATTTAATTTTAATTAACGTAAATGTAAAAATAACCACATGTGTCGAAATGGCTACCGTACTGGTTGGCAGTTATAGCGGTTACCCTTAATTTTTTTTAAAGATTTATTTATGCATACAAGAACTGGGGGTACAGGCCAGAGATGTGGGGGTGGTGAGAGGATTCACCAGAGACAGAGTGGGAAACAAAACAGGCAGAATGACTGAAATACACTGCTGAGGGGAGCAGTGGGCAAGACAGGAGAGGTCTGCTGCACTATGTGGGTGGCTCCCTGGATGGGGATCGAACTCATGCTGCAGTGGCTGCGGATTGCTTCATAGGTTGCGTCTCAACCCCTTGCGCCACCAGGGAGGCCCAGTTACCCTTAATTTTTAATTCACATACTTAAATGTAAATACTTCTGGAAGCATCTAGAGTAAACCATTAGTATCTATCTCACCCACTCCCACCCCAGACCTGACGAGTTTATAATACTACATTACCAGGTTTTGGCTTTTCTCTGGAGCAGGCACTATTGTGAGTGCTTTATGTGCAATAACTCATTGAATTCTTACTACTGACTACTGATGAGCTGGGCTTTTGTGTTGTTTATGAATGAGTGAGCTCATGATCAAAGAGGTGAATGAGTTGTCCAAGGTCAAGAGTAGCAAGCAGCTGAGCAGAGATTCAAAGCCAGGCAGTCTGGTTGACAGTCCACAGTCCGTTAGCCACTCCACATGGAGATGTTAAAACCTTGGCGTACAAGAGTTTGCTCTGTTCTTTCTCTTTTTTTCTATTTTTAAAAAAGATTTATTTATGTATACATATAAGAACTGGGGTACAGGCCAGAGGTGCGGGGGTGAGATGATTCACCAGAGACAGAGTGGGGAACAGAACAGGCAGACTGACCGAAGTACACTGCTGAGGGGAGCAGCAGGTGAGACAGGAGAGGTCTGCTGCGCCATGAAGTCAGCTCCCTGCCTGCAGATAGCTTCATAGTGCTGCGACTTAACCCCTTGGGCCACCAGGGAGGCCCTGCTCTGTTCTTTCTTACTGTGCTTCTGTCCTTCCCTGTTAGGCAACATTTTTTACAGGGGGAGGAGTTTCATGGGTGGAAGATTCACCCCCCCCCCACTTTCTGCTCACCCCTCTCTTCCCCCACCAGTGCCCCCACCCCTGGAAATAGCCCTCTACCAGCACTCCCTGGTGGCTTTGTCCTTCCTGTTCATGACCAGCGGTAAGCACTGGGGAGATCCTGCCACCCAGGGCCTGTGCTTTCTAGCACCCCAGTCCTCTCCCCACCTTCTTATGTTTCTGGCATTTAATACCAGGAGGGCAGGTTCTTTCAGGTCAAGGGAGGCAATCAAGTGAAAGCACAGAATTTGTTTGCCTTTGCCTGGGTTCCTCTGGAGGTGAAAGGGAACGACGCCAAAGGGTTCAGAGGTGCAGCTGACGCCCACAGCTTCCACTGGAAAATGCATCTGCGCAGATTCGAGTCCCGGTGATAGAGGACCCCAGCTCTGCCATAGTAGATGCTCGGTAAGCAGCTCTGGATTAACTTAGGGGGCACAAAGGGATAGGAAGGGCAGGTGCCAGCAGCCAGGGCCTGGCTGAACACCCATGGAAGCACCTTGACCTCTCTGGGCCTCAGTTTCCCTCAGTGCCTTGGTAGTTAACAGTATGGTCTCTGAGCTGGAACTGCTTTCCAGTTGTGCTATTACCCCGTCCATGAGCAGTCCAGGCGTTGGGGATGCAGACTGGGGCCAGAGTGCTGGAATTCTATCTGGGATTTCCTCTCCAGAGCTGTGTGACCTTGGGCAGCTCGTTTAACCCCTCTGAACCTCATCATCTATAAACGGAGATAACAGTAATACCCACCTCATGTGCCTGTCTACCTTACAGCCCCAGTTAGCTATCACGATTCACCATCAAACAACACAGAGCGATTTTTTAAAACACAGTTCAGGCCATGCTTAGTTTAGTTCAGTCCCTCTCCAGTTTAAAGCCCTTCTCTAGTTTCCCATGACATTTGGCATAAAACCCAGATTTCTCACCAAGGTCTACTAATCCCTGCACACTCTGGCCCCACCTGCCTGACTGCCTTCCTACCCTTCTCCCTCGCCCACTGTACTCCAGTCCCTGGCTGGGCCACTGCCTCAGGGCCTTTGCACTTGCTGTTCTGCCATCTGGATGCTCTTCTCCCAGGTCTCGGCAAGCCCACTTCTGTGCGCCTCAGCTCCAGTGCCTCCTACTCCAGGAAAGGCCCTGTCTGCTCACATACAAAGCCCAGTTGCCCCTTCACTCTCCCTCACGCCACTCTATTTTATGTATCGCAGAGCACCTCAGTTCTCGAAGGGCATTTGTGTCCATTTATTGAGGCTTTTGAATGCAGAGAGAAAAACAGAAACCGTGGGCCCCTGCAGCAGCACCGCCATTGCCCACTCCCCCCACGATCCTAGCTTCAAATCTTTTCTGTCTCTCTGCTGAATCACGTCCAGGTCAGCTTTTGCCGGTTTTGTCCTGCAGGCGCCGTGGGCCTAGACCAGTGCCCAGCGCGCAGATGTGCTGCCGAGCTCATGCAGCGTCTATTTCTTTAGGTACAAAATAGGATCCGTTTCACGTGCCTGGGACTGAGAACCCCATAAGCACTCAAAGCGAGTAACCAGCCCTCTCGGGTCACTTTTTCTGGGCAGAAAGGAGAGGGGCAGAAGGAGGGAGGAAGGAAGTGCGCCCAAGTTCCTTCCCAGCCCCCAGCCGGGGCCTCCGTCCGGGCTCGGCCGCCGAGTGGGCGGAATCTGATGGGGGAGGGCGCGGGGCGCGCGCTGATGGGGCCCGGCCCGGGCCGAGCGGGGCCACGTTAGACTTACCCATGGCGAGCGGGACGGCGAGGCTGCCGGCTGGGGGGCTGCGCGCATCCCCCGAGGGCCTCCCCACCTCGGCCGCCCCACAAACTTTCCGGCCCGCCTCTCGCCTCGGTCCCTCCCTCCCGCCTGCCCGCGGGTAGAGCCGCTGCCACGTCAACCGGCCTTGGCCCCCGGCTGTCCAGGGGCTGGATGGAGAGACAGGAACACCCCCTGCCCGGCGCGGGGATGGCTGGGGGTCCCCACCTGCTATCCTTCCGGGGGTGCTCCCCCCCCCCCGCTGTCATCTCTGGTGGTGAGGGTGGGGTGGGGGTCCCCATCAGCTCTCCTTCCTGCAGGAAGAACACGTCCTAATGACCACTGTCCAGTGCAGGCTGCCCGCATGCTCGCGCGCTCTCTCTCTCTCTCTCTCTCTCTGTCTCTTTCTCTCTCTCTTTCTCTGTCTCTCTCTCTCTCTCTGTCTGTCTGTCTCTCTCTCTCTCTGTCTCTGTCTCTCTCTCTCTCTCTCTCTCTATCTCTCTCTCTCTGTCTCTCTCTCTCTCTCCCTCCCTGTCTCTCTCTGTCTCTCGTCTACACTGACCATGACACTCACACCCTCTCTGACCACTCAGTCTCCCCTGGAGTCACTTCCCTTCACTGGACACTTAGATTTGGGCACCTCCCACTGTCCACATGTGCTGGGCCCTGGGCTTGGACTGAAGAACACGACAAGAGTGTGTTTTTTTTTGTTTGTTTGTTTGGTAGGGTTTTTTTTTTTTTTTTTTTTTTGTGGAATTTACTTTCTCCTTCAGGAAGAAGAGAAACAAATAAAGAGCCAGAGAAAACGGCAGCTGGTGGTACAGGCCAGGCGGAGAATGAAGGCAGGGTGAGGGGTTCAGGCTGAGGAGGTTGGCAGGTCCAAGCAGCTGCTCTAACTCCGGATCTGGGAAGGGCGCTCTGAGCACGGGATAGCTGAGCTGAGAACTGAAGTTCCCGGCAGAAGGAGCAGCAGAGGCCAGAGCCCAGCGCTGGAACTGAGCTCAGGAATGTAAAGAACAACAGAAAGGAAGCCAGAGCACAGGGTTGACAGCCGTGGAGGGAGCTGGGCCGAGGGAGGGGATGGCGGGGGCTGGGTCATGTAAGGCCTTGAGATGTCAGGAAGGAATGGATTGGATTGGATTTTATTCCAAGTCACACGAGAAGTCATCGGGGAGTTCTCATGGGTTCTAAGGAGCAAGGGCAGAAAGCGGCCCGCCGGGGAGGCTGTTGGGAGGTGAGAGGTGGCGTTCATTTGGACTAAGGTGATAGGAGTAGGGAGAAAAAGGTAGGCAGATGGGAGACAGACAGACTGGAAAAGGACCTACATCCTGGGAGAGGAGCGGCTTGGGGTGGGGAGAGATCTCAGCTCTCTTTCGGCAGGGTGACCTTTCAGGTGCCCCGTAGGCATCCACGTTGAACTAGGGGGCGGTTTGATTTCAGAACTGGGAGTTCTGGAAAGGAGCCCAGCTGGGGACACCCCCACTAGTTCTTACTTGTTGGCAAAAGCCCTGCAGGCTCGGCATTCACGTGGGCACAGACTTATCTACCTTCCCTAGGAGTGTTCACACATCCGCACACGCACCCAAGGGCCTCAGCCAGCACGCCCCGTGCAGCTCGAATGGTGTGCTACAGGCCAAACAGGAGAGAGCCAGGCCCAAGCCTAGGGAACCCACATACAGTTCTGCAAGGAATAATAGCTGGGGCAGGTTGAAAACATGGTCCAAAGATCTCTGTCTCTTCCCTTGAATCTAAGTGGGTCTGTGATTATTTCACCAGTAGGGGACGCAGAGTGACATGGGGTGGCAGCCGAGCCTGGGTCACAGGGACACTGGTACCTGCAGCCCCAGGCGTCCAGGTAAGAGGTCCGACTTCTAGGAGGCTGCCATGCTGTAGGGAAGCCCCAGACACACAGAAGGCCACGTGTGAAGGCGTCAGTGGTGGATCCAGACTTTATGTCAGCCCAGCACTGTTTCAGAACAAGCCTCCAGACATCAGATCTTTGCAGGTGAGGCCTTGGACTTCGTGGAGTTGAGACAAGCCACCCCTACTGTTCCCAGTCTAGATTCTTGACCCAGAAATTCCATGAGTATAATTAAATGGCTGTTTCTAGGTGCAACGTTTTGGAGGAAATTGGTCTTCAAAATCCTGGAACAATAACTTAAATGATGGAACAATAATTACAAACTTTGAAATATGTTACATGTACTAGTTCACTGCTAACTGCCTAGTAAGATGGGACTATCACAATTTACTCCCATTTTATGAACGTTACTGAGGCAAAGGGGGGGAGTAAAGTAACTTGCTTGTGTAATAAACAAAGAATAAGTAAGATGCGTAAACAGTGTGCAAGGACACGCACTAGTCCACAGCTGAGCTGGGCATGAAGCCCACCCCAGTTCTGGAGAAATCAGGCCCTGATCTGTCACACCCAACTGCCTTTCTGGCATGGACAGGAGTCCCAGGAGGCCTCCTTCATCTGCAACATTCTGGAATTGTCCACCAGGAGGCCGGGCACAAGACCTGGGCTCTTCTGTCCTGGGAGACAACCTTCAGAAGTTCTGGAAAAAGGCACGAACGCTCCAAAATTCTTTGTTCTCTCTGGCTTGCGTGAAGTCGTGAGGACGAGGATGTCTGCGTGCTTGTTGCAGAATCTCTAGAAAACAGAGAATCCGTCTTCCTTTGTTGCCCCAAATGACAAAGGAAAAGTTTTAAGGGTACTTTGGTAGGCATCTTCAAAAGTGGCTTCCCCTGAGGGTGGCAAGCTCCAAGCATGTAGCAATTCCTTTCTCATCAATAGAGTGCAATGAAAAAGTGACAATGGCCTTTTAGAGGTCAGGTTATGAAAGACAGCAGTCTCCCTCTTGCTCAGCTGCTCCCGACACTCACTCATTCTCTCTGGTGAAGGCCCCTGTCTGAGGAAAAATTGAGGGTGGCCTGGAGGCAACAGCCAGCATGGAACCAAATCCTCCCACTAATCAAACAGTCACACAAGTAAACAACAGATTCTGTAACAATGCAGAAGAAGAGAGAGGTCCAGGGGACACCGCAGCTTATGAAAGTTGAATTTTCCCTTCTCTGAGAAGTCAGGGAGGTCCTCCCTGAGGAGGTGACATTTAAACTGAGAATGGAGGGATGCCTAGATGGATCTAGGCAACAAAGAGAGGAAAGAACACTTCTGGCGTGGGGCAAAAGCTGGTGCAAAAGTCTTGTGCCAAGAGGAGTCTGATAAGAATGAGAAACTAGGAGGAAGCAAATGTGCTTGATGGTCACAGGGCAAAAGGGCAATACACACAGTGGGCAACGAGTGTGGAAGGGAGATGTAGGGGTCCCCTGGAGGACCATGTGCGTCTCTATTCTAAGCACAATGGGGGCCCATTGAAAGGTTTTAAACTGGGTTTCCTACCATAGAAGCCAGAACCAGTCTGACCATAGGCAGTCTGTTTGCACAGTGTATTTTCCAAAGGAGGGGTTCAGACCTGGTAACCATAGAGATGGTTATATGGATGCTAACAATTGTGATAATGGGGCCACAAACTTGAGAAACTGGATGTTATAAATAGAATTGGTTCTGGTTGAACTCTGAGTCTGGACTGGAAAGCTGCTGGAAACCACCTTGTGCAAACACAAAGGGTCTGGCGTTTGAAACCCTGTGTGTGTACGAGAGGCTGGGACTGCAGAGCTGAGGGTGATGTCATAGCAACCCTGGGCCAAAGGCCTTTCCTCAGTACTTCAAAGAGAGTCCCATGATGGAGCAGGAAAATGAACTTATGAAAATTACCTGCTCTCCACCAGGCACCGCTTTTTTCATTTCTATAAGCAATTATGAAAGTAAAATTACTTATTCTCATTCTGAAGATGATGAATTTGAAACTTGAAGAAATGTCTGGCTGCCTCCCCCACAGCTACGGCCAGCTCCTTCCCCCTTGCTCAGAGAGCTGTCTCCAGCTGTAGAGGCTGAAATGCCAAATGCTCACAGTTCCAGCTTCCTGCACAGCCAATGTAAAGACAGGTGAGCCCGGGGTAGTCCAGGCCCTGCCTAGGAAGTCTAATGGGGAGCAGAGGGACCTCCAGAGCAGGGTTTTGTCTGAGACAAAGAGAGGTGAATAGGGGAGAGCACCAGCCTTCTTTTTGTGTCTTCTTATGACGCATGGAACTTCAGTGGCCATGTTGTAACCATAAGATGAAAAGGGTAAAGGCCAAAGCAAGATACTGGGGCTGGTGAAGACAATGAATCTACACATGAAGGTGGAAAGATCTTGGGTCCTTCATAAAGTGACTGAAAGATACCAGAGACTCCCTACCTCTTAAAATACTATTCTGTGAGATAAACAATAAATGAATTGCTTATCTACCCCAATTAAGCTAATTGGGTAATCTGCTACTTGCAGCTTAAAATAGCAAACCATGGAGGTCCAGTAATTGTCCCCACTGTCATCATCTTCCAAAGCTGTAGCTAAGTCCATGGCTGCCCTGCTAGAGAATATGTCTTCCAGGCCCCTTTGCAGCTTGGATCACGTGGCTTAGTTCTGACAAACAGGAGGGAGTGGATGTCAGTGTGGCACTTTGGATCAAGTCCTTAACCGCTTGTTCTAAACTGCCTCACCCCTGGCTTCCTTCTTGCCAGCTGGAGTTGGGAGGAGAATAGATTCAGAGAAGACAGCAATGAGTTAAGGATGACAGATCTGGACTGTGATGTAAGAGGAATAAACATCTCATATTTCAGTCACTAGTTTTAGGTTTGTTTATTAAGCAGCTTATTCTGTACCTTAAGTAACATGGTAACAATACACACAGCCTGTCAGTGATAGTAAAGTCAGGTTCTTGTGAACTGCCTTGCTCCTAGTCTGAGCACTGGTGGTCAATGCATGGGATAAAGGAGGGGCTGCTACAATGAGACATGCCTCCAGGGTTCCTCCTGGACAACACACAATAGGGAAGACGCCTTCCTCTCTGTATAGCGCATGTCCCTGCATCTAGCACAGTTAGTGTTCACTCAGTGTATGTTTGCTGAATGAATTAGTAAATATTCACTGGGGCAGATTAGTGATTTGATAGGCAACCTGAGTTTTCATGTGTGCAAAGTTTTGTATTGTATAAATTGTTATAGCCTGTATTAGCTTTCCAATTGATAAAACAGATGCAAACAGTAAAAGTTTGTTGGCTAATCTCTCCCAATTCAGTTAGTTCTGTCTCCTCTGGAAAATTTTCCTGGATCCCACGGCCTCTGCAGCCTCACCATCCCTACCACCCTCTGAGTTTCAACTGTTTTTTTCCTGGAAGATGGTTTTTGTATTTTAGCCCAGTTATTCCTGACTGCACTCCACAGGCTGTAGCTATTATTACCCCAGCAGTAAGATGGTGGTGGCACATGGTGCATTATCTAGGTACGCACAGATCTGCCTGGTGTTAGCCTTTTATGGATGGGCATAATTTAGGCAGCAAGAGACTAGGAAAACTTCTGGGGGTTCAGCTCCTCAGGATCAAGCAAGACCCCCGAAAAGACCAAAGATTACGAAAATGTTTTTCTGAAGAGGCACCAACGTTGTAGAAATAAATTCTAGCCTTTCACCCAGGCAGAGGAAGAACAAGCGGTACTTCAGGAATGGCGAGGCCAGGAGAAGCTTTATTACTCATGCATGAGGTCCCAGACCTGGGTAGCCCCGGAAGGTCTGAGCACCGGTTTAAAGACCAAGGGCTCCTTTTACACACAACTGTGTCCATATCTGTTGTGTTGATAACATCGTTTTCAGCAGGCACAAACATGTACAGCAAAGTCTCCAGACTTTGGGGGGGCGGGGGGCGGGCAAGGCAAGGGGGAAAAGATGCAGGCATTGGGGATGGCCTCAGAGACACTGCCCCGCCTCGTAGATAAGAGCGCCGAGGCCCTGGCCATGAATCTTGAAAGGGAAGGAGCTGCAAGGAAGCAAACTTGTTGATGTTGCCTGCATTGGAATGTTCATTGCACCTGGGCTGGAAGTTCTGCTGGAATCTTCATTCTATTCATTTGCTCAATAATATATTTTCTCATCACCAAAACTTTCCTAAAAGAGCCAGAGATTTAGGAGGCGGGGCTCATCAACACCAGTCGCGCCAGTCACCGTGAGCTTCCACAAGCAAAGCGCTGTTAGCCGAGAACTACCGAGGGTTTACGGAGATAGCCGAAGAGCTGGGAGGCGGGGCCCCAGAAGTCTTCGGTGCTGAAAGAGCGGAGAGTTTGGGAGGCGGGACCTCTTCTACATGGCGGAAGTGTCGAAAGGGGCCGAGCAGTTCCGGAGCGGGCCGAAGCCGCACCGACAGCTTCCGGAGAGAGCCGACAGCTTCCGGAGAGAGCCGACAGCTTCCGGAGAGAGCCAACAGCTTCCGGAGAGAGCCGAGCGTGCCCGAGCGGCGGCGCGGCGACGCAATCATGGCGGCGACCGGCGCTTCTGTGACTGAGAAGAACGAGGAGCAGGCGTTGGAGGCCGAGGCACTGGCCGCGGCCCGGGAGCGAAACAGCCGCTTTTTGAGCGGTCTGGAGCTGGTGAAGCAGGGCGCCGAGGCGCGCGTGTTCCGCGGCCGCTTCCAGGGCCGCGCGGCCGTGGTGAAGCACCGCTTCCCCAAGGGCTACCGGCACCCGGCGCTGGAGGCGCGGCTCGGCCGGCGACGGACGGTGCAGGAGGCCCGGGCGCTGCTCCGCTGCCGCCGCGCAGGTGAGGGGGCGCTGCTCCGGAGCGTGGGGCCTCCCCAGTGACGCGGGTACCGCCGCCCCGCTCGGGGGCGCGGTGGGGGCACCCGGAGGCCCCGGGACCTGAACTCCGTGCCTCGATTTGCCTCAGTTTCTCTATTTGGACCTTCTCCGTGGCTTTCCACCGAGAAGTGTCATTTTTTTTAAAGATTTATTTATGCATACAAGAGCTGGGGTACAGGCTAGAGGTGTGGTGGGTGAGAGGATTCACCAGAGACAGAGAGGGGAACAGAACAGGCAGATTGACTGAAATACACTGCTGAGGGGAGCAGCGGGCAAGACAGGAGAGGTCTGCCGCGCCATGTGGGTAGCTGCCTGACTGGGGATCGAACTCGTGCTGCCGAGGCTGCAGACAGCTTCAAAGGTTGCGTCTTAACCCCGTGCACCACCAGGAAGGTCCAAAAATGTCGTTCTTTCACACCTCTCTTAATTAACTCTTAAAAAGCTGCTTGGCCTGACAGCTACGCTCATTGGTCATGGAGTCTTGGGACCAGGCTCACTTCCAGGCCTGCCGCTGTTGCTTCCCGTTGAGCATGTTATTTAACCTGAGCCTCGGTTTCTACGTTTGCACCATCTCAATTTTTGATCATTAGCTCTTCATTATCACTCTTGAGCAGATGTCATAACAAGTATTTGCCCAGAAGTCAGCTTCACTGGGTTCAGACACTGACTGCTGCTTCATATGTAGCCACTCGCTGCAGTTTTCCTCACCTATAAAGGAAAGTCACAGTAGCAGTGCCCCTGCCTCAGGAAGCCGTGATCCGGTAGATAGAAGGGTCTTTGTATGCCATTATTATGTTTGAAAGTGTGATTGGCATTTAGTGCTTAGTAACTGCGGAATACATGCACCATAACCCTCAATCTCGACCTCATAGGAGAAACTGAGGCTGAAGTTGAAAATCACTTCCATAAGGTTACAGTGAGTAGGTGACTTAGCCTGACTCTCAGCCCATATCCCTCTGACTCAGACACCGACTTTGTACTCTAATACTTCCTACCTTCCTTTCATTAGTGCTTTTGCTGGAAATCTGGAGGAAGGTCAGTATCGAGTAAGCAGACACATCTCCCTGTTGCTCGGACTTAAGTTGTGTTCATATTTTCTGTTTCACCTCTCTGGGATATAAGTTTATTAAGTAGGGATCATGGCTGCCTGTTTTCCTCCGTATCCCCAATTATGTTTCCAGTATCTAGAAAAGCATCCTGAGCATGATTGACATTCAGTAAAGATTCACTGATTCATCAAACTATTGGAGTTATTGTATTCATGTTATAGAAGCAGAAATGGAGGCTTAGAGGAGTTAATGTTTATGGGTATACAGCTAATAAAGGAGATGGAAGTAGAACCCTCTCTTTTCCTGCACTAGAAGGATGTCATGCAGGTGAGTTAGAAGTGAGGCTTCTATTGCAAGTGATAGTACACCTTTAACAAAGAGTAGATCGAAGAGAAAATTGCACCTTGGGTTCTTAAGAATATGTGTGTGTGTGTGTGTGTGTGTGTGTGTGTGTGTGTGTGTGTGTAGAGGGAGATTCTGTTTCAGCATGAGGGACACATAGGGCTCCAGGTTTGGGACAGATTGAAAGTCCTGTAATGTCATTTTTTTTTTTAAATAATAAATTTTATTTTTATATTCCCCCATACAATTGCAAACCCCCCATTCTGACCCCAATCCCTCCCCTCCCGCCCCCCACCCCCCAAAAAGTGTCTCTGGTTCATAGTTTTTTGTTGATTTTGATTTTCACTTTCTTATAGTTATTCATTTTCCTGGTCCCTTATTTAAGTTTTCTAGATTCCTGCTATGAGTGAGACCATCCGGTATTTTTCTTTTTCTTTTTGGCTTATTTCGCTGAGCATGATCCCTTCCTGCGCCATCCATGTTGCTGCAAATTGCATGTGTTTATCTTTTTTGAATGCTGAGTAATATTCCATGGTATATATGTACCACATCTTCTTGATCCAGTCATCTATTTTTGGGCATTTGGGCTGTTTCCAAAGCTTAGCTATTGTAAATAGTGCTGCTATAAACATAGGGGTGCAGGTGTTTGTAATGTCATTTTTAACGTGCAGTTGTTGAATGCAGATATCAAGAGTGAACAGACAAGACCCCACCACTAGGAGGATGAGAGTAACTACTAGGACCCCCATGAGTGAGGAGACCCAAGATCACCAGCCTGTAAACTAGTCCCATGGACTTGACATGCCTGCAATTCTGCAGCCTTTTGGAGACAAAGGGGACTGACTGAGTGGTTCAGGAAACAAGGGGCAAAGAGCAAAAGAAGTAAAAATATTCTTACAGTGGCGAGAGGCCCAAATGAAGGTCCCATCCATTGAGACCAATTAGAAAAGGCTTTGTTTGTAATAGGGGTCCTGGGCCAGGATGCAGTTTCTTTAAGGCGTCCTGCCTCCAGGAAGTCTCTCCTTCCTCTCTGTTTTCATTTTCCAGCCAGCCCTGGAGCTCAGCTCAAGGTTGTTGCTATTACTCATCTGTAAATACAAGCCTCTGAGAGAAAGCTGGATAAGTGTTTTTTCTCTTTGTGTAACTCTTATGTCTTGATTGCAGGAATAGCTGCCCCTGTTGTCTTTTTTGTGGACTATGTTTCCAACTGCATATACATGGAAGAAATCAAAGGCTCAGTGACTGTTCGGGATTATATTCAATCCACAATGGAGACTGAAAAAAAACCCCAGAATCTCTTTGGCTTAGCCAGGACTGTTGGGCAGGTTTTGGCTCGAATGCATGACGAAGACCTCATTCACGGTGATCTCACTACCTCAAACATGCTCCTGAAACCCCCCCTGGAACAGCTGAACATCGTGCTCATAGACTTTGGGCTGAGTTACATCTCAGCCCTTCCAGAAGATAAGGGAGTGGACCTCTATGTGCTGGAGAAAGCCTTCCTCAGTACCCATCCCAACTCCGAGACTGTTTTTGAAGCTTTTCTGAAGAGCTACTCCACCGCCTCCAAAAAGGCCCAGCCAGTGCTCAAAAAACTCGATGAAGTGCGCCTGAGAGGAAGGAAGCGGTCCATGGTGGGGTAGAGGCGTGTGGGGCAACCGCGGGCAGTCGAGCTGTTCGCGGGAAGTGCGCGTGCAGGAATGCTGCAAGCCCCGGAGCCCTAAATAAAGGCGTTGCGCTGCTCTTGAGTGCTGTCTGTGACCATGCTTGTAACGGGTCATTATCCTCTGCGGTCGGCTGCGCGGGCACTCACGTGTACATGAGGGATGTGGTAGGCAGAGCCGGGGAACAGACCAGGGCCGGCTTCCTCACTGGGGCATGTGTATCCAGGTATCTGAACATGACTTTAAAAAGCACTGAACCATGTAATGAGAACACCCTTTTTTTCAGTCCTGGTAAGACAAGGACAAAGTCTCATGGGTGACAGCAGGCCTGCGGTAGTCCTCTAACCCAGCTTTTTTTGGGGTGTCTATGATTATCCTCATAAAATCTACATAGTGGGATGTGACCAGCATTTTTAAAATGAACTAGAAACTAGAATCATCAGAATTCTTTACAGGTGGTAGTATAAATACTGCCTCATGGAACTTGTTTCAGATGTATATGGGGATCAGGATATGCCCTGGTTCTGATGTAAAATATATTCCTTTTGGAGCACTGGGATTTGGGGGCACCTGCACGTGGACGATAATCACTGCTGTAAACTAAGAAGGGAACTCTGGTCTGGTGCCAATAAAATTTTATTTATAAAAACGGTGGTTTGGAGGCCATAGTTTGCCAATTTGATTTTTAAAACTAAAAATACTGTCTCCTTCAGTAATTAGATACCCCCTTAAGTTTGTGCTCCAGGCAAGTGCCGCACTTACCTCACCCCAGTCTTAACCCAGCTGTTGCTGACAGCTGGAACCCGACCCTGGGAACTCATGTTCTTGCAAGGGCCAGGATGTCCCAGGATGCCTTTGAAAACTGGGACCTTCCCTTGTGTCCTGAATTCTGGGCTCTGCGTGTCCAAAGGACGGAATTCCCTTTTCTCCCAACCTAGAGGAGTGGCGCTCTCTTGCCACTAGAGGGCGCCAGTCACTGTCGTTCTCTGCAAAGGAGTCAATGAGCCACTTTCCTTCCTTTCCTCCTGCACTTCTGTCTGTCTGCTCTCCACCCTCCTTCCCCTCTCTCTTCCCCCCCTCCTTGTGCTCTCTCCTTGCAACCTGATCATTTATTTACTCTACACCTTAACTGACTAGCCCTATGTGGGGAGCGCCAAGTTAATCACACGGGATGTAGCCGAAGGGCAGACGTGGGTGTGTCTAGTCCTCTCCTGTCTTAGTCTTGTCATTCCTTCTTTCACTTCATCACTCATTCACTCACTGGGTATTTACTGAGCATCTTGGCTCTGCTGGAGCCCGAAGAAACTGCTGCCATCTCGGAGGCCCCCCTGCTTCTTTCTCCAGACGGTGCTGTTGTGGGAGGTTCCCCCACCTCTCCTTCCGCCTCTCTTTTGGGCCCTGCATTCTTCACTCAGCAGTCCCACTGTCATAGCCACATTCTGCTACTTCTCTGTTCAGAAGTGTGGTGGCTCCCCATCCCACATTTCCGTATTGACATGGGCCACCCCTCCACCCAGCACCTCTGAACCTGAGTGTCCTCTGGAAAATGGTGCCTGACTGGGGGAGCTGCTGTGAAGCACTGTCCTGGGTCAGAATCCTCAGGAAGCAGATGCTGAGATGTGGTTGAGTATGTAGAATGTTTAGTAAGGTAGACCCTTGGGATAAACCCCTACACAAGGGAAGGAAGCAAGAAAGAGAGAGGGGAAGTGGTTCAACTGGCTCAAACCAGTTCCAACCAGCTCAAAACTGATTTCAGCCAGATCAAACCAGTTCCAGCTGACTCAAACTATCCAGCAGGATCAAACCAGTTAGTTGGTTCAGAGCAGTTCCAACCAGATCAAACCAGTTATCACTGGTTCAGACAGAAGCAAACCGGTTCCCACTAGTTCAGACTGGCTTCAACCAGATCTGGCTGATTAGAACCAGTTCCAACCAGCTCAAACTGGTCCAAGTCACCCCAATCCCTATCCTTCCCTATTCCTTCTGGATTCATCATCACGCTTTTTCTTCTGTTCCTTTATAGATTTTCAAATGAAAGGGAGGTGTTTATTACTCTCAGACCCCTTCACCCTTAAGCTGCTTGTGTCAGTAGGCACTTGAATTTGCAACCCCTAAAAATAAGGTGGTATCATCTCCAGGTGGTATCATCTCCTTTCCATCTCTAAAGGAAATCTCTGGAACCCAGTGCTGGTTACCAGGTGCATGTGGATCGTAGGCTTCTTCCGGCAGCACGCAGGCTTATGATAGGTGTGCTGTTGGTGTGTTGTGAATATGGGATTAGAACCGCCCACTACCTCCTCATCGCCACCCTCTGGCTTAGGCAAGTGATCTTTTGCTTAAATCCTTCCAGCTGCCTCCTTGGTATCCCTGCTTCTGCCCTCATCCCCCCACAGTCTTGCTTTCCACTCAGCATCTTGGAGAATCCTATTTAATCTCAATTCAGATCATGTCATTTTGTTAGGGGGAAAAAGGATGTCCCAAAGCAAATTCCATATAGGCTTTGTGGACTCCACCCCCACCCCAGGTCAAAGCCAAAGACACTGGGAACTCCAAATCCCATCACCACCAAAAGGAAGGTGGCTGGGACCTGAGGGTGGGGTTAAGCAGCCAGGTGGATACAAAAGGCAGACACGTGGGCTTTGGGGGCTCTCCATTTTGGGGCTCTCGGCCAGCTCGGAGCGTCCGGCCAGCTCTGAGAGTGACTTTGGGTTTCCAGGTCGTCGGATCGGGTAGGACGCATTAAAGACTTTATTTCCCTATTTTCTCCCTGAGTTGTACATTTTCCTTATTTCTTTTTCTCTTGTAAATAAACCTTTTATTAACCCTTTTGTGTGTGTCTGTAGTAGAGTATTCAAAAGTCCCTTTAAAGCGCGCGGGTGAGGACCCACAGCCAGGAACCCGTTTAATATCGGGGTTGCTGTATAACAATTTCTCTGTTTAAAACATTCCTGTGTTTCTACCTCACTCAGGGCCAACAGACCCACCTGCCCTTACCCAACATTCTTACTTTCGTGAGGCCTGTGCTATCACTGTGCCCTGGCATGCTCACTTTGGGTCAGCCACCCTGTTCCCCCAACAGCTGGTGGTGCTCCTACCTCAGGGCCTTTGTACTTTCTGTTCCCTTTGTTTGCAACACTGTTCCCCATAGATCACACGACTGCCTCCCTCACTTCCTTGGTGCCTTTGCCAACATTGCTTTGTCTGAAATGCCTCCTAAGAGCAGCCCCTATAAAGGTAACACTCCCAGCCCCAGCTGTCCATCCACCTCCCCAGCTTTATCTTTGGCCGCTTCACCCCACCTGCTGCCCTTCCTCTTCACTTGTTCCTTTGCTTTCTGTCTTCCCAGGCAGGGCCTTGTTTGCACCACTGCTCTAGCCCCAGCATCTGTAATGTGCCTGGAGTAATAGGTGCTCCATAAACATTTATTGAGTTGAATTCCCTCCTACGAGCCCAGCCTGCTCACTGGAAAGAAAATCAAGGAGCCACATGAATCTTTTTCCCAATGCTGCCCTTCCTCTACCCAGCCCTTCACCCCCCACACACAACCCCTCCTCCACCTACCCACAGTTGTCTCTGCTGGAGGCATAGCAGAGTGTGGTCCTGGCCTGCAGCTTGGAACAAAAAACAGTCAGAACCCTAGGGGACTGGTTCCGATCAAAGACCTCGTCATGTTTGTAAACCTTTACTCTGCCTGCGAGAGGGGGTAGGAGATGACCCAGAACCCGAAGTTAGTCGAAGCTCCAGGCCAGGAAAGTCCCGGGCTTGCCCCCTTGCCACAGTGAGGAAAGGCCCTGCGAGGCCGAGCTGCTGGATGCCCCCCTCCAGGGTATCTAAACGGGTGACTGATCCCAACCCCAGCCGGAGGCCCACTTGCTGGGACCTGCTTCAAAGCCAATATTGCTCTTGGAGCTGCAGAGACCTTGACCGAACTGTCACACTGAAAGATGCTGACATTGGTGCAGGGCTCAGTGGGGGTTGGGGGTGGGGGGTAAGGGGGGGTGAAGGGGGGCACTGAGCCCTTTCTGTGGAGGGGGAGGAGAGACTGTGCCAGCGCTCCCTGCACACTCTCTCCCTGGCCTTATTTGTCTTGAGATACACTATGTATTTCACTCATTTACCTTATTAAAGAATACAGCAGGCTCTTGAGTAACATTTCAGTCAATGTTGTTTCTTATAGTGTAGGGGAGAAAAAAACGAAAACACTCCCTGGGGTCCACCGTCTGAGGGAGTTTGCACCTCCTCCCCAGTCTGCGTGGGTTTCCTCCAGGAACACTGGTGTCTCCCCATCCCCTGGAGATGTGCACGTGCGGGTCATCGGCAGGTGCCAGTCGTACCAGGCTGGGTGAGGGGGGTGGGTGGGATGTGCCCTGAGATGGAAGGTCCCCAGGGTGGGTCCCACCTTGCACCCTGAGCTGCAGGGTAGGTTCCTGACCCCTACCTTGACCCAGAATAAGCTGCTTGGGAAATGGGTGAATGAATACATATAAATGATTGTGGATGCTAGCAGTGTTTTGGGTCTTTTTATATAAGTTTGATGTTTTTGTGGCCAGAAGCATGCTGTCAGGACTTAACTCCTGTTTATATGAATTAACCTGCAGTAAAATTGGTTTTGTTTTATATCATTTTGCTTAAAGTCACACCAACAGGGCCCGTGGCTTGAGGACTCCCTGTACCACGATGGGAGATCTGTGAGAGCAGAGGCTTGTCTTATCGCCCGCACCAGGACCACGCCTGGCACATAGTAGCTGCTGAATTAATATTTGTTGAATGAGTGATGTTCCAGATTTTGCTGGACGTTCATAATAATAAAATGCAATGATAGAGAGCACGTTCGATTACTCAGTATCAATTGAATCTCTGCTATGTCCCAGCCCCTGGGAATGTGGCAGGGGATAATTTGGACCTTGTAGAGTTTAATCTAATGGAGAATCATTTCAGACAGTGAATCACATTGTGAAGAGAACGAATCAGGAGATTTTACACAGAGCGAGTGGTGTAGAATTGAAAAGGCCGTGCTTCCTCCGGTGAGGTGGTTATGGAGGCCCCTCTGATGGAGCCAAGACCTGAGTGAGGAGAAGGAACCGGCTGCGGGGTGGCAGGGAAGTAGCAGAAAGAGATTCACAGGTAGAGGGAGCAGCCAACGCAATTCAAGTTGCACAACGAACGTCACCACGGGGCGGCACACAGTGATTGAGGGGAGGCTGGTAGGACGTGGGGTTGAACTAGGCAGGACCCCATCATTCATGTAAGTGTCCCACACAGTGCTTGGCACGTAGCAAGCCCCTAACAACTGGGCTGATGACTATAATTCATTTATTTGTACACTTTCCGTAGACTGTCCTTTGCTACCAAAAATGACGGTTAGTGGTGGAATTTCATTGGAATTTCATTGGAATTTCAGCTCTATCATCCACTAGCTATGTGACGTTGGACAAATGTCCTAATCTCTCTGAGCTTCAGTCTCCTCCTCTGTCCAATAGGAATTAAAATAAATGGTTGTCAAACCATCCATTGGCTGTGGAGGATCTTTAAGAATCCCCCTGTACTCTCCTTCCTTTTCAATTTAAAGGAGGAAAAACCAGAAAAGGGGCCCGTGGATCCAGCCCTGGTGCCACTTTTCCCCTGCAGTGTTTGAAGTCCTTTTCTCCGGCCA